ATACAGGAATTTATACAACCAGTAAAGATCTTCTAATGATAATTACCAAATGATGCTTTATCAATCCTGCTGACACTACCATTCATCTCTGAAGAGGCAGCAGAGATATTTAAGCCCTGTCCAAACTCCTCAGCTTCCTCAAGTCATCAAAAACTCCTCCTTTTACTTAAGACAGCAATACAGTCATGTACAGTTCCTGCAAAAATTAAATCTTCGGAGTTAGAATAAGCAGCATAAAACCTGGATGATATGAAAATCATACCACAAAACATACAATCTATGAAAACAGAATCAAAAAAATAGGAGAGCCCGTGGGATAAATATAACACTCAGGATGCTGCAGCTGAGAGGTACGTATGTTACTGGGGTTAAAAAAATAAATTATAATTACTCATATAGTTTTCTGTGGCTCTCATTTACTCACATGAGTGACAAGATTATTTCCTGGTTGTAAGCAAAATATATTGCTCCAGCGTGGTTATCCTCAACAACATACATCACTTGTGACTTTACCTTTCACAAAGACTTTTTTGCATGGCAAATTATTAGCTATCAGAGCTGTCAAACTTCTATGCAAGAACTTAATACTTAGGGGCACAGAGAGAGCAATGGAAAAACAATAGTAAATATTAGTAATGCAATCATTAACAAGAAGCATCAAGCAAAATGGAATCACTGGGCGGGGGGGGGGGGGGGGGGGAGTTATCTTACATGTCCATTGTGGAATTATCCATGTATAATATGTAGTTTTACATCTATTTTTAAAGTAGGACTATGGAACATCCTCTCATATTTGCTTTATATATTGATTTTCTATTACATGTGAAAAAGGTCTCCTGCCATTCTTCCCAACAGGAAGATTAGATGCATCGAAAAACACTGATAATTTTACCCTTGGAATAAAATCTGTTCATTAGCAGGCATTATGAAATTGTAATTAAGTGAATTAGCATTGCTGAGTTCAATTAAAAAGTCAAAATTGGCGGGTTATCTATTTCTCTACAAAAAGCATAAGAAAATATGAAATGGGCCATTATAAAAAAAACAATTCCTCTTGAGTTACAGTTATACAACACTGCAGTATTAATTTCTTTGGGCAGGATTGGAGAAAGATGATTTCTATTTGTTGTTTACAGGACCAAGCATGTTTACTGCAGTCCCAAAGAAAGACATACTGGATTGAAATAGTCTAGGAGGGTTTTTGATCAAGTTTTACATTTTCCTGTTCTTCCAAGTTTAAAATACTTTTATTTGAAATAAATAAATGTTCAGGAGAAAAAATAGTGGTTAAGGGGAAATACATAAAAGTGTATAATAAAGAAAATTTGCAATCGCCATCATATAAAAATTTTCTTTTTTGAACAAGTTTTTTCTGTAAAGTATTGTAAAAAAACCCCAACACCTGCAACCATGAGTTTGCTTGGTTTCATTCAGTTTCTAAGAAAAAGGCATTAGGCATTATAAAGGCAATACCTGCATGACCCGAATCAGAGGTTGCTATAGCAATTGAATACAGTGAACTGGAAAAATCCTATTAGAAAATGACAAAACAGAAACATGCACTTAGCAATCTGCTGCCATTTTAAAACACCCGTTTCTCCTCTTCCTCCTTCTGAGGCGTAGGGCATTTCATCTATATGAATACCAGCCACTTCAAAAAAGTGACGATTGCTGTGTATTCCTTTCCAATTTTAAGGTATACTGACTGAGCGTGGAAGTGTATTTGACCACAGAAAACAAAACCACCCAGTAAACTTTGCACAGTGATTTTTTTGTCTTGAGAAATCTAGCATGTTGAAATTGGGCTCCACAAGATCTATTTGGATAATTTGTTCTCTAAAAAACTACTTTTAGGGGATGTGTTTACCTTATTTTTGTTGAAATACTGGGATGAATGTTTTGAAGAACTTTAAACATCAGCATTAAATTATAAAGAATTCAGTTCATTTAATATGTAACTATGTATGTCCTTAGTTCCAGGATAGGGACTTTTAGAGCAGTAAGGGAAAAAAAGCAACATTTGGAAATTACCTTAATCATGAGATGGTAACCCTGTGTTCAAAAGTCTTTCTGTAGAAAAGCCACATCACTAAACACAGTTAAAAACCCATGACCTCAGCAGAGAAACCCTGTAAAAAATTTTCAGCCACCTTGTCAGAATTGGTAGCCAACGCTAGCCTAAGGCATAGTGTCATGTAAAATTTGCTCTCCTGGGCATCTAATAAATACAGCATAAATGATGGTACAATTTTTTTTTTTTTTTCTATTTGCACATTTTAAAAAACCTTCTGCTTAGGACAATCAAGGTTAAATTCTTTGGTGGTCATTTTAAAAAAATGAACTATAGAAAGACAAGTGATCAGTTGTCCTATACTGAGGTAATTTGAGGAGTGTCATAAGAACGTTGCGTTACAAACACCACTTGGCCATTTTCCCTGCCTAAAAGCAGCTCCCATTTTTTAATATACTCAGTGTAGACCTCTACAGTGAACAGAAGAGGTCCTGTTCCACAGCCCATCTTAATGCATTGCATATAGCAAGGCTGAAAGTTTTAAACAGAGTGTATCCTAAGGTCAGGAAAGCAAAGAAAGTTCTTCCCTGTATTATGTCCTTGAGTCCACCAGGAAGATTAACTACATAGTCTACCGAAACATCGATATATTAGAATGCTGCCACACATTAAAATATAGCATAGCTCATGGAGAAACAAAGAGAAAAGGAAATACAGCTTGCGAAGTCTTGACAGATGCCATCTGAACATCATTAAAGGGGTGAATATCAAGTACATTAAAAAAAATATATAATCTTTCCATTGTTTGCCTAAGTTCCCATTGTTTGCATATGCTTTTCATACAACAGCAGGAAAACCGTGTCATTTGGCAAAGGGATTTTGGGTTGTTGTGGTTTGTTTTTATTTTTTTACAGAAAACCTAATGGAACATAGCCTTTTACTTTTGTTTGTTTACCAGAATAATCAATTATGTACACAGAGCTCCCAGAGTGGTGCCTGTTGAACCTACAGCAGCAAGAGCACATAGTACTATAATTGGATATAAACGAAGCCTGTTTTGCTCCTTTTGATTTTTTTTTCAATAAAACAATGAGGGGAATAAATTTTATTTTCCAAGGGATGATTCCCATCTACCTTCCAAGGGATGATTCCCATCACAAGAAAGGGAGGGCAAAACCAGGATGCTAAGTACTTGACGTTGGCCCCTTTAAATGGGGAAAATAAGCTTCGGAAAAACAAATTAAACCTTACACTGCTGCCTACAAGGAAAACATAAGTAGATATTAAGATATTCTTTAACCTGTAAGAAATGTCAAAGCTACTCGATTAAGTCAAGTGTTCCTCATGCCGCAATGACACGTTGTTAGGAACAGCAAGGAGAAGCGATTCTGTGCAAGTTTTCTGGCAGGTGGAAAAATATCATCTCATCTCAAACATTTCAGTAGGTTTTTTTTAGATATATGCAAATTATTTTTCTACTAGATTAAAATTTTTGTGAAAAATTAACCAGGAAATTAAATTACAAAGCTATGTTTCATTTAAGTAAACCTTAAATAACATTAAAAAGTCTGGTCTAACACAATTTCTAAACAAAGATGGTTTTCATTTTTCAACCCGTTTACACTCATGGATTGCTATCTTGCATGTGACTCATCCTTGCATGCATAGTGTAAAACCTCAGAGGTTGTTTTTTAAATTTTTATGATCTACCGATGTAGGAGTGCTGACAAGAAACAAATTGATGCCTTTCTAAAGAAATGCATACATAGATATTTTTTAAATTAACAGTTAATTAGTAATGAGTAAAACCTTACCCCACAAAAATCAAATCAGCTGCTACATTTTAGAACTCTTCTTATGTATGATAAATAAAATGAATTTTCCTGTAAAAAATTTTCATTAATCTTTCAACTTGCTTTTTGAACAATAGAATAAATAAAACCATTAGTGCCTAAAAGTTCAAATATGCTACAGATGTTTAAGATAACTGAATAACTACACTAAAATGCACCATGAGAAAATTATCATTTTCCATGCAGGAAGCCAATTGATATTTTTGTGAGGTACCAGTCTTTCAAAAATACTCATAAATTAGTTACCTGATATACCTTCTGTACATGGCATATTTAAAAATCTAACTGTACAGTGTTTCAATCATATAGAATGCATATAATCTGCTGAATATGGCACAAATGCTAAGTTTCCACACCCACACATCCTTTGCTGTAGAACACACTTTAGGCATAACACAACACTAAAGAATAGAAAAGTGCCTGAAACAGAAAAAATAAAGACACTCAAGTAGTAATAAATTAAATCTCATTCAAACTGATATAAAAGTTGTTCAAGTGTTTAAAGTATCAGATGTGTCATGCAACAGAACAACAGACGATTCAGGCAGGCACGCCATGCATTATAGTTTGCATTCATGGTATCGCAAGCTCTCTCTCCCCCCTCCTGCATGGCCAATGAGTGCTGGGTACCTGCGGCACTGCTAGGCTCACATGTTGAACCTCCAAAACCTCTCGGTCTCCTGCGCAGGAGGTTTTACGGAGCTATGCCTCAGAAGGATAACTGGACAACCTCATGCTGTACAGTGGTATCTTGCTGCAGTGTAAAGAGAGCCACACTGAGCTGCATGTAAGCAAAGCAATCAGTTCTCCATTATATTTTCCAGTCAGTGCAGTTCACCATAAACCAATCAATTTACCAAAATGTGCTTATCCAAACTGGCCAAGTTTGCACACCAAGAAAATGTCTTTGCAGAACATACCATCTTTTCTTTTTTTTTTTTTTTCTTTTTTTGGCACAAATCCTTTCGTACTCTTGCTGCAAGCTCTTCACCATACAAGAATTCAGAGATACTAGCCTGTACAAATGCACTGGTGCTTATTCTTCCATACAATAAACTACAAAGGCAGCTAAACGCCTGCAACAGCTTTGCTTCTCCAGCAACTTTCCCTTCTCTCTAGGGAGAGCACCAGCATAATTACACTTCAGACGAAGGGGTGTTCTTGCCAAGCTCTTTAATTCCCTGGAGAATTCGCTTCATATGACCCACTTTCGTTATCCCCAGGTCCTACAGAAATTTAAAAAAAAAAAAAAAAAAAAAGGAGGAAAAGAAAAAGAAGGAAGCTTATTTACAAAAAGGAAAAAAAACACCCATTGATTATGATCGAGCCATGCAACAGATGTGCTCAATTCAATCAACACGAACTGGAAAAGATTCTATGTCACTAGCAAGTGTTGCCTAACAAAAAAATTGCTTAGAGCATACAGTGAATCTTCCTCTGTCTTGCAGACAGAAAATTACTTACCTGCAATCATGAGAACCCAAGGCACTGCAATATCTGTCAAAAACATCCTTCACTTGACTTCTACATACAAAAACCTTGCACAATTTCTGGCAAAAAAGAACAATCTCCCCCTCCTCTCTAATACAGCAATCAAATGCTTGGTAGGATGTGATGGATTAGAACTTCTGTCCAGCAATGTCACTTGATCTGAGGCCCTGTGTTGTCGGTTTTAATCAACAAACACACACATCCCCAGTATCTCAAGGGAAAGTGGATTTAACAGCTCCAGGCATGTAGGACAACTTCCCTTTAGAGAGCAATAGAAAAGGTAAGCATTTGTTTTTCATTTGAAAAAGGTTACGTCTCCTAACATAGATCGATTAGAAAACTGGAAGAAAAATTCTCAGAAACATGACAGTCATATCCCAAAGGAAAATGTAGAAAGCACAAGCGTTAATCTCCTTGTAGGAATCACATCAGCTGAAATGTTTCTGATATTGGTTTCTGGGACCCATCTCCACATGAGTGACAAGAGACAATAAGTTTTTGCAGCAAACCTCTTCCAGCATTAATAACAGCTTTAGCATCATCCTTTTTCAATTTTGACTAGTCCAGTAGTCAGAGGATCAAAATGGGATGCCCAGCTGTGTTAATGATCCCCAAGTGTGATAATGAATTGTCATCTCAGTTTGGTGGAAATCTGCTTCCCTTATCTGCAAAACCCAGCTTTGAAAAACTCTTTAAGATCCTGGTATTAGTGATGTTGAGCAAGTGACAGATTCAAGGACAAGTTATTTGCAGAATAAACCTTATGTAAATAGATCGTGATTTAAAAAAAAATAATCTTAGCATAAGTTTCATGATCTGTTCTTCTGAATTAGAAACCCTTTCCTTTTAATAGAAGATTTTCCATTACGAAGACATTAGAAGGAAATGAGGTGTAATTAATCAGCTTGAAATAATTATTCTCAAAAAGAGTGAAAAATGAAATCGAATGAAATATTCTATACATACTCTACACAAAGACTGTATCTACCTTTCTACAGCCACAGAAACCTCAGGAAATCTGCACTTTGTATTACTTACAAGTGTTAGCATGCAATTCACTTTGCATTTCTCCAAAGCAAGAAAGAGGTGGTAAGATTGGCATGAATTTTTATTGTAAAGGTAGCACAGCACAGATTAAACAGGTGGACTAATTTTCAGAGAGACAATTCTGCTTATGTTAGAGGTGAAAAAAAAAAACTAATTTCTTCAGTAGAAAACTGGCAGTACTATAAATACGTGACCACCTTTGGCACAAAGGTGTCAGCACTAAAGAGTTCAAGACATGTTCATAAAAGTCCCCAAATTAAGTGCTGTTCATAAACCTGTCTGAAAAAAACTTCTGATTTTCCACATCACATCAATTTATATTTTGTTTCTGCTAACAGTCATCTCACTTATAAAAAAAAGTAGTACTACCTTTTAAGTTAAGAGAACTGATGTAGGGCAGTAGCTGTTAAACTCTTCCCACAATGAGAGTAACATTTATCATCTTAGATTTGGAGAATATTTCTTGTTTATGCTAAATTTAATTTTCCAATGAATTGAAACCATACACAATCACTGAAACTACTGAAATAGCCTAGTTGCTATGTGGAGGAAATTCTACATAAGGAAAAAACCATCAGGATGCTTTCCAAACCATGAGAAACCACACATGTTAAAGGTTAAGAACTTGCAAATTCTTCAGAACAAATATTTTTCATGAGTAGAACTTCTGTTGGATAAGCAACATAGCAAGATGCTTCCAGACCTCAGAGATCAGAGGAAAGAATCATATTATAAAATTCCCAGAAGCGTCAGCCACTTTTTCCACCGACCTGTACAAAGTATCATCAACACTACCCATGTTTCAGAGGCAAGAGATTTCAATTTTATTTCTGTGCCATTTCAAGTTGCTGTAAAGTAGATCAAAACAGCAAACCTCAAGAGCCTGACCACAGTTTTTGGGACATTTTAATAAGTTCTGACACACTTCCAGAGGCAAAAAAAAAAGCGCCAACCAACAAAATAAACTAATTTTTATGCTTGTGTAATGGTTTGGTTTGGAGGAAATTAAGATTTATGCATTCCTGACACTAGACATTACCTAGTATTCTCAGTTTACTACTGATTCAGGAAAGTTTGCAGAAATTCTCTCATCTCAGACTAAAGCAGCAGCATATTATGCATTATTCAAAAAAGCAAGATCCCCAAAGATGTCTGCATTTTTGTGCATGCATGAGTTTCACCATGCTCTACATAATCTGTCCCAATGTAATTGATAACTAATTAACAAAAATTCAATTTGACTAAAATATCGTTTTGAAGACAAGACTTCAGCCACAGTCTGAGGAAGAAAATAGCCTTTATTTTTCCTCAGCTATAGCCTTAAAACTACAGGATTGCCTTTCCTTCTGCTTTCCCAACCCACTTTGCCACCTCTAGGCATTCAGCAGATAAGGTTCAAAAAATTCTCAGAGAAAAAAAAAAAAAACGTGGGCAAGAAAAGGCTGATAAAAATTATTGCAACAGCTTTCAGGAGTTCTTTGTCTGCATTATATTATGGTGATTGCTGTCTACTTAGCCAAGAACCCTTTATTCCAGGTTTGCCCCACAGATTTTAGCCAAGCATACCACCAATGTAATACTACCAAACAATTTATATAAACACTCCTTAATAGTAACATCTTCCAGATGAGAAACCTACTCTGCATTCCCAGTGTCAAAAAGCCATCTAGCATGCCTGAAGTCTAACAAATCTAAGAAAACATTTTCCGTGGAAGAACTTTTTCAAAACATGCTACTGCGTAACACCAAGATGAAAAGCCACAGTCCTCAACACAGACTTGACTGGTAATGCTGACTAAACTGAAACAAGACATGGAATCCCTTTCTCCAAGAAAACAACATTGCTATGGAGCTCTAAGGAGACATCACCCTAGTCCTACCAAATGTGTTGCAGTTCTGATACCACTAAGTTGCATGCACAGGAACAATAGGAACAAAGTTATCGATGCTAGGAATGCCAGCACTTATTTCAAATAAAATCAGTCTGGTTTTCAATGAGTTTGCTTATAAAAGAAGTTTAAAAAAATCATTATAACCTTGCTTTCTACAGTTTTTACAGCACAGTTCATAATTCACTGCCCAGCCTTTCCTCAAGTGAAAGAAAATCAAATGGGTGTAGAAGTCTAAGATCCCCCTAAATAAAATCTAGTGTAGAAGGCTGGAGAAAGGGTATTACTACAGGGGCTGGGGGAGAGCAGTATCCGGTTCGTCTTGGAGGTGTTTTCCATTTGTCAGTTGCCACACACAGAGCTAACCAAGAGTGGGATCCACAAGCTATGCAGAAATATAATTAGGTGTCCAATTCTTTAGTCAACGCATTGATCTATTTCAGTGATGCGTGCAAAGGAAGAAAGTTTCATCAAATCCTTTTCCGTACTGCTTTTTATCTCTGCTTTAGACCACAGAAAGAAAGGTGGGCCCAGAGGATTCAATTAAAACAGGCAACGATTTTTCCTGTTGTAGACATGAGAGGTAATAGAGGTAAATCTATTGCCCATGACTTAAGAGCTTGTGAATCAATGGCAAGCCCATTTAGCTGGGCTGGAAGTACAAGCCTTGCACTGGAGGAGAGGCTGCAGACAGATTATAGCTCGCAAGAGCACTGAAGACTCATCCGCAAACCTTGATAGCCAAAGGGAGGAAAAGTTAGCAAGGCAGCTTGTGACATGTTCCACATTTCCTATGTACCACATTACACATCCTGACACTGATTCAGGTCACTGGCCAGCAAACTGCACTGTCCCTGAGCCACCCTTAATTGGGCTTCCTGCAGAGATCGTGCCCTGTATGTAATGAACAGGACGAGTGCTCAACTCTGCTACTTAAATTCAGCGTTGCTACACAGAGCACAAGCCATGCTTGGCCAGCAGCCTGGCCTACCTCACGCGCAGCACTGCTCTGGAAGCTCTCAGCTCTGCTGACGAGCAGATGGGGCAATTCTAGAGCAAGACCTCTGCTAGCACAGGATATACCCTTGGCTACTGGCGTAGAGCAACTCCTCTCCCAGCTATGCTGAGCCATTTAAAACCTGCATACGTGCTTCCAGGCAGCACTAGATAGAGGGGACAGTAAAACTCTGTCTCTGTGTAGGCTCTAAGACAAACTTTTAGATATTTCAGGGTGTAGGTCTTTGTGATGGGGTTTTATTTATGCTGAATCAGCAGGAGTCTTAGCAACAGGGATAACAGATTACTCTGCTGCAGATATTTACTTGGTTGAAGTGCCAGTCTTTGGGGCTTGCAGTCAAATTGGAACCTATCAAAAATGAGGCATGGCCAGAAGCCGTGTCTAGTTTAAAACTGGTCTTACCCATCAGCATTTATTACAACAAATTTGACATCTTGATTTTTTTTTTTTTTAAGATTTCTTAACATTGTAGCAAACCTATGCATTTTGTGATGCTGAGTTTCCAAGTTAAATTTTAAATTTGTTCAGTGCCCATTCACAACAGGGACTTGCAACATCCATCACTGGAATATTGTGGTGGATTGCTTGGACAGTTTTCTGTTTCTAGATTTTGGCAAGGAGAGACTGTCCTAAAACTGTCCCTCCATGTCAGGAACTATCCTGAAAGAAAGGAATTTAACTTCCATGGAAAGAAGCTTAGATGATCTAATACCAAAGGGTAAAATAATACAAAACAGCCAAACAGATCATCTTAAACACAGCCATCTTCAGCAGCTGCATTCTCCTGCAACAGTCACACAATGCAAGCACTGCTTTACAACGTCAGGATTTCATACTATATAAAAAACTTTACAAAAAATGGCAGATTTGAATGAAAGTATTGCCTCTATCTGCAGCCTACTGCACTGTGGCTAGAGCAATAACTTGCACTCTAAATCTAAATGTTTGCAATTTATACAATATCCTATTTCCTCTCTTATGTGCTAAAAGCAGTTGCAAAACACATTATCAAGAACTCATTACTACTGAGTTCCCGGAAAAAGTAATGTAATGAATCCCCAAAGATACAGCCTCTATTACATATAATGGATGCACTTAAATCATCCTTGAAAAAGACCAGCAAGCTCAAATAACAGCCTCAGACTGCTAGGTAACATTTCTCCCTGAAAAACTTCTCAATCTGACCTCAGAGAATGAAAGTTTTACAATTTTGGAGACAAAGAAAGTACTCTCTTTAAATCTATGCAGCAAAAATCAGGCAGAGGTTGGTGAGGGATGAGAAAACCTATTGCAAAGGTCCATTTTGACAAACAAACACCAACACCGTTAAGTCCAATGCCACAATTTTATTAAGCTGCTTCTCTCTCTCACACCCACTATATCCAATATATATATACAATAAATCACCTAAAGCAGGTCAGCTGCTCATAGCTGATGACCTTGCAGTAGATAGATTCAAAATTATTATCTCCACCTTCAACTGATCCATGCTGATCCTCTTTAATGGAGACAGTAAATTCTTGAAGATAACAGTGCATTACACTGATGTCAGTTAAGATATCAAACATGCTTTTCCTATGCCTCCTGACATAAAAACTGTAATGCTATCATTCTCCATAAAGTGCAAAGAAAGGAAATTTCAGATAACAGATATTCCTGGTTGCGAGTACAAGTCAGCACTTCGGAAACTCAGGCCAAAGGACAGCGCGTATTAGTTTATTGCATATTTGCACAGTGTAAGCCAAGCTACAAGCACAAAACAAGTGCAGGGAAAGAAGAAAAGTTGGTTGTTGTTTTGTCAAAGAAAATGGTCAATAGCAGAAAAGTAGCACAAAGGAAATACCTTAAGATCTCGCCTTTCCAGATGTAAAAGCTCAGAGCCTCGGATGTCATGGCTGATGAAGATTTCTTTGTACTCTCCCAAACTGAGCAGATCCAGCCAAGCAGCAACTTCATCTGTGCCCCATTTTTGAACTACCAAAGTTAAGAGCAAAACCCCCTTAATTTCTACATGCTCAAATGCATCACAAGCAAAGGTTAGGCCAAAGAGAGTGGAAAACAGAGTAGAATTGCCGTGCTAGCAAAGGGAAAGGTTAGAGGTGTCATTTCCACAAAAACTGACAATTTTCTTTTTACATGCAGGTTACAGGTTAGCAGTTAACATGAGAAAGTATCTAAACAAAGTTGGGGTTCTTTGCTTTGCAGCCATGCTTTCAGCTTTACTCCCATTTCTTCAGTAAAGCCTTTAAACCTCACGTCCCAACACATTCACATTAAACCGTCTTAGGATCAGTGATGCAAAGTCTAATGTTGTTCTGATTTATTCCATTAATTTATTAGTAGTCATCCAGGGAGAGGAGAAGCCTTCAAAAACTAATTAAGATGTAAAATTAAAATATCAACCATACCTCAAATATAGCAATGGCAGCAAGCAAGTCCAGTTTTAATTAACGTTTTCTAGTATTCTTAATTAATGCAACAAGTATTCTTTAAGCTACTGTGTTTCATAGCCCATTAATAAGCTCTCTGTAAAACATTGTTCTCTAAGGTTAGTTGCCCACATTAGTCCCAACAAGACCACATTTATTGAAAAAAGGTTATGCTACTTATTGCTATAATTTTGCAACTCATTCAATGCTGATTAGGTTTACAATGAAGCAAAATCTGAAATCTAATCTGAAATCTAAATTATGATCAACAACTGCAAGATTTTGCAGATTTTGACCAACTGTCCATTAAAAAGATAAAGATGTAGAAACAGTTTTAGGACCATCTGATCACTGATTAACTCCTGGACATAATCTTAAGGAAGTAAGTTCATGGATAAGAGTGGGAAGAGAGGAGAGTGGAGTTTGTTCAACTTCTTCTAATAAAAAAATCAATACTGACTATCATGGCTTTTTGTTTGATTTGTCTTACTCGCTGAACTTAAAACCCATCTCAAATTTAGGAATAACTGGTTAATTAAACCAGTGTGATAAAAGCTCTTGCATGCCTTCTGAAACTAACCTGAAAAACCTAAACTGGAGCTTCACAGGGAAACAAATGTGTTCACCTACGACTTGTACTGCTATGAGTTAATTAAATGTAACCACCAGGACCTGCGTCTTTGCTGTCACACAATAAAACTATCTAAATATTTTCACAGTAGTTCTTTGGTTTACTTAAAAGTCTTGGGGTCCTACTGAATGCTTTCTAAATGCACTGAAAGAAATCTTCACCCTAACGAAGATGCCAGTTAGCTTAGCTGCTCTTCTCTTTGACTTTACTCTTAGGTAGAGTGCACCATTTCAGGTCTTACAAAAAACCGCATAGAATTACATTTTCCCCAAATGCAACTATTTTTCTTGTAATTTCAAAACACATACCAGTCTGAGGGCTGGTCTTATGCTTCTGAACTTTTTCTTTTTTAAACTTTGGCACTATGCGAAACACTGTACTTCTGTTGTTTCTTTTAGCATAATCCAGAGGGGGATCCTGCACGAAAGAAGGTTAACAGAAAATAACAGTGAAATTACATGCTTGAGATGGTAGTTCACAGTTAATCTCAAAAGCTAATACCAAATTTTACTTTCGTAAAGAATAATGTTGGGATTTAACTCTATACTTGTTTGATTTATTAAATAACCATTCAAAAACTTTACATTCACAAAAGGGAACAAAAGACAAAAAAAGCCCTAAGCTTAGAAACTTGTTCACAGCAGACAAGAGAGGATCCAGCATCACTACTGAAATTGACTCTCTGGATCATAAGAGATTCTAACTTACTCTTCCCTATCAAAAGAAAATTAAGTTCAGTTAGAAACAGGACATATTAATCAAACTCACCTCATCATCATTTGGTTGAAAAACATAATAAAGCCAAGGTATCTCAGCAAGTTTTCTCAACTCTGTTTCCACACTGTGCAAAGCGTCAGGCAACAGCTCTTCATGGGGAGCTTCTAATTGCTGTTTATAAACAACAGGCCAGAAAAATAGTATTTTTAGTCTTGTTAAGAAACAGCATTTAAATCTAGATAGGTTGTTACTACACACAAAATGACTAATCTGTGGTGAGTGTAAATGAACAGTGACAACAGATTTTCCTTCAGAGATGGGTCAGACCACCCTGACACTACATTTAGGATGGTCCCAACTACTAAGGGATGACTGAGACAGCTGAGACTTCAGTGCAGATCAGCTGGACCTAACTGTCAATCATAATTCAACACACTTAAGTCTTCATAGACTAAAAGTTATCTGATAACACCGATACTAGTACACAACATTAGAAATGGGAACTTCCAGCACAAGGGAGATAAAACATGACAGGAAGAACAAGAGCCTGGAAAATCTGTGCATGAAAGGTGATGTAAAAAAATTTGAGTAGATGGTGGTAAGCCAGAGTTATCTGCAAATGTCATCATATGACGGATCACTCTTTCACAGTCAAGTAAGAGGAAATGGATCTTGCCAAAGATGCTCCATTCCCAAAGGTCTTCCAGTGGTGATACAATACCTGCACTACACCTAAATAGGTGAGAGATGGAGCGATAGCCACCGCTGCTGGCTAAGGGTAGGAAGAATGTGGACCAGGCATGGAAGATGGACAAGACTGCAGCCCCAGAGGGGAGACAGAGTTATCAGTGAAGGCCAAAGAGGAAAAGAAAGTGGTAGCAGTGTAAAAAGCTTGGGAGTTCCTGACCTACAGGAATTTTGAGAACCCCATGGAGGCATCCATGGAGGTACCAATCTTCCTTAAAAACTTGGTCTGAAAACTGTTCTGCAGCTGTTGTGTGAGTTGAACCTGTGAGGAAGGTGTAAGGCAAGCATCTGTTCCATGGCAAGGCTGTTTTGGGCTCATCTGGAGTTGCTGAAACACCATTTTGAGGTAAAGGGTTGAATTCTGGAACAAGCTAGAATCCCTAATAAAGCAATCCGAACATCTATTTCTCTCTTTGAAGTAAAAGCAGTCTCAAAGCAGTGCAGAATATCCTTTTGAAAGGACCTAATTAAGTTATCTTAGTGAATGCATTTTTAAATGGACTTGGAAGAGAAGCTTTGATCTCTAGTGCTGGAAAAAGATTCTGACATTGTTGGGGTTTGGTGATAAATTACAAGCTCATATTAACTTATCCTACCTAACAAAAACTTCCTTCCTTTGCTTCAGTAGTTTGCATATGTCACCACCTTTCAAAGGAGAGACCATCTTTACCAAGACATTGCTGTTTAGTATAGTAATACTGGAAATATAAGCTCCATATTTCTATCATGTTATTTTCTCTTCTACAGTTCACAGAATTCAGTGCTCATAAGCAGATTCTGATCCTTGTCTTCCCTATTTTTCAAGCTGACAGTTAATTTGGAGCACAGTGGAAGACCCACTTGTCTTTGAAGAAGTTACAACCTTCTTGCATTTTAATTTTTAAAAAATATTTAAGTCACCTATTTTATATAACTGAATGAAGCAGAGAGTTCTGTCTTTCTCAGCAAGCACCTACATCTAATTGCTTGATTCTCAAAGGATAACATTTTGCTTGGCGACAAAAAACTCTCATCTGATGGTGAGAAAGTGTATGCATTGGCAATATTGCTCCTGAAATAAACCCAAAACAATACTGCAATTCTGGTAAAGGAAGAGTCAGCAAGTTAGGGTAAATTCTCCTCCTACAACATCTTGGAAAAGCTTCTTGTTTCCAAGACGGAAATTAACTCTATGAATTAAACAATGAAAATAAAGGATTTTTACAATTCCTTCCAAAATGAAATTTTTAATATGGAAATATTTTATTTCAGTGAGCTCAGATAATTTCATTCAGTTGAAATGAAACATTCTGCTTTTTAAAAAGCAAACATAGAAATAGTGCCTTTGGAAAATATCTAGACAAAGCATAGTATTTTTTTTTCCAAATTGTATTCCAGCCATAATCATCTGAGAGAGTCCACAAATCAACTTCATTATCCCATCTTATCTTTTCACTAAAAAAGGTATTGATAGCTAATTCACTACTTGATGTCATCCAGATAATACTGTTGTATGAACTTTGTTAAAAATATCTTACAAGAGGTGGCAAGAATCCCAGTCTCCTTGTATATTTATTTATATTTCTTTTGTCTCCATGAGGAGCCATAACAGAAAAACTAAAGAGCCGGTAAATGGCAACCAAATAAAAAGTAGTATATGCAACAAAGGCATCGAATTTACTGCTATCAGGGGCTTTGATCACAAAAGACACGAGTGAGGGAGAATTGAAGAAGCAAAAAAAAAAAAAGTAGAAGAAGACATTAAAGAAAGAACGTCTGTCTTTGTTAGAGAAGAAAGATAATTTGGAGACCAGCATACAATGGCAGTGGCTGATGCATCAAGCAACACTTGGCATGTTATCTGGCTGTTTTAATAGAGCGAGGGACCAAGATACATGCAGCTTCAGAATTTGTAAAATATATGGCATAAGGTTAACCAGGGTGCCTTGTTATTGTGACGTGAAATACTATTTGAAACAAGCACAACGTCAAATGAGTGCAACGGACATCTCCGGAAGATTATCTCGATATCTTCCAAATGGCCTTTTTATTAAAAAACAGGTTTGACGTAGACTCATGAAGATGTTTTGCACAGACCATAATGAGAAGCAGAAGTACAACATGTAAAAATCAGAAATGGACAAATGAATCAAATTCAGCTTTGGAGCCTGAACAAGAGACCAGTTTGACAACACAATGAGATCACAACTGGCTATAGAATAGGTAATGTGTCAATGGGAAGGTTTCCATAATAGCATTATTTCCAGACTGCCTTGATAAATTACACTTGTCCTAGTACGGCATCACCAACTTAAACTTTTCTTCTAATTCCTCTTCCTCAACTATTTTAAAATTTAAACAAATTTCTCTATTTTGATTCCACATTCAATCTGAAATATGGGGGATTAGTAATAGCAATTTGAAAAATACAGAAGATATTTTTCCCTTTTCTTAGACAAAAACTTCTAATGAATGTTTCCTCCTAAAAACTCATAAAATAGATCATATGACCCTAATCTTTGCCTGTTTCTAGAACTTAAATGGTTATTAGCCTTCAGACTATATTAACTTTTGGTTACTGTAGAATAGACTCATACCACTCATCACTTGTATAAAAAGGTATGTGAACCTGCACCAGTAAGTTTCATACCCCAACTCAGCTAAATGAAAACATTCCTATTGATATCCATGTTTAATTATAAAACTTACATAAATAGTAAATTAGTAATAAATCTGCTTTTGAATCTGAAGAAAATGTAACTGTTCCTATTGAGTATCATCTTAATGTAAAACTGGACCAGCACAGAAAACCTGACATCCTTCTTCTCTTCGCAATGTCACATATAGAAATTTTCTAATTATACATCCAGGTACAACAATTCTTGAGCAGTCTTCATCATTTTAAGCACAGAAACACTAGACAAAAAGATGCAGAGTCTGCAAGTACCATCAGAGGTCTACTGAACCCTTACCAGTTAAAGGTTATAAAAGAATTCCTGCCAGATATTAGAACAAGGGTGAGATTTACTTGCTCAGATCAGATCTGCAGAAGTTGAATGCATGAGTCTGAGCAGTTCTCACCCCAGGTTCTCTTTAAACTCTGAAGATTGTCACCTAATAGAACTCCAGAAGTTCTCTTAAATGCTAAATCTCCAAAAGATGATTAATCTTTTTCTAAGATAGGCCTCCAAGACAGTTGAGTGTGAATCAGCCTCAACAGGGATAGTTATTTCTCTTCACTGACAATCAAAAAAGAAGAGACCAGGCAATGACCTTTTAGATATCTGAAGATAGATGCCAACCTAGGACAAGAATTCATAACTCATTCCAATCCAAACCACAAATGCAGTGTAATATCCTCCAATCGGCCTTACAGAGCTTCTTTGTAGCATATCATAAATCCTGCGACGATTTAAAAAATCACTGAAGAACAAATCACAGATAATCTGAATGAGGAAATAAAACCATGTATTTTGTGACCTTACCAAAGGAACTCTTCCTACTAGCAGAGATTCAGTTTCATTATGTAGTGCCTTCACATTGACAGCTATCTCCATGGCAGTGTTTCTGGTAAGGCTCTGGGGAATAAGCAGCAGAAAAATTATTTGAAGTGATGCAAGTCCGACTGAAAATAAGTACTTTGGGCTTACAGCACAGATCTTAAGCATCTTCTCCTAGGAGAAATACATCAATTTAGCTCTACGCTGACAAATTTTTCAGCACTGAGAACAGAAAACAAAAATGTAGCATTTATTTACTGTCATCCCTAACTTAATTTAATATGACCATATACAATCCTGAAGATCACCAAGTGACCATTTTTATGGATGACAAAGGCCAGCAGAAAAGCTGTGGGCCTCATTTAACAACGCGTGTTGGTCCAAATTGTTTACCTTACGCTTAGCCTTGTTCACCTTGCCTTAGAAGTAAGCTGCTAGCCATATTTTAAGAAGCAAAGGTTAACTAATATATTTACCATACGTAGGTTAGAGATAGACAGCCTCTACCTAATTAATCTTTTTGGGTCCAATCCTTGCAAACACCCAGACTGTCTAGCATGAAGAGAGAAACCAGGAAACTCATTTCCCCTCACCCCATTTGCATTCTCTGCATAGCACTTGGATAACAATTAAGCAGGAAAATTTCTATGAATGCATCCACAAGAACTAATCTATATGTAGTAATGGCATTTGTTCAGCCTTTGTCATGCCTCCACTCTGTGTCTGGGGACATGCCTACACAGTGGTCTGCAAGCAGATGTGAGCTTACTTTGCCTACTGTTTTGCTGTTTGCTGACCCGAGTTTGGTTTATTCATGCTCAGAGCTACATCAGCGCATCACCTCACTTGATTTAATAAACACCCCTGGCTGCAGACCTCCATTGCAGATGGAGCAAATTCTTGACTGCTTCCAAAAAGCTACATACTTCTACCATGCCCCTAATCCAAACACCCTATCTCCCTTTTGACTGCTCACTCCTCCCTGCAACAAAACCCAGAAGGTCCACATTTTAAGTGCCATTAATGTCCATTTCTACCACCCAATGTTCTCAAAAGAGAATATCAGCTGGGGAGGACAATGATGAATGCATAAAAGGCATCTTCAGCCTTCCCAGATATCATTCTGATATAACATCAGGAGGGGACTTTCCTCGTTAATACTCTTCTGTAAAAAGACAGTTCTCTTAACTCCCATTCCTGGTATTATTAATAAATTTCAGAATCACTGAGCATGATCTCTATCAAATTCATCAGCTATGGGGTGTTTCCCTGTGCATGTGAAGGGCTGAGACTCCCCACTGCTATACAGAGCAGTGCTCTCAGAATCAGAAGTAACTTTCCCTTTAATTTCACCTTAGAAAAAGTGGCAAAAAAATGGGAGAAGATACAGTATCCATTCATCTGTTAAGCAATTCCATTTAAATCTGAGTATGTATATGAATTTTTAGAAGTTTTATAAAAAACTTCAAGAATTATCATCCATCTTGTTTTAATATGGGGACAGGGAGTACAACACAGCTCCCATGTCACAAGCTTATGCACACAGATATTATAGCTTATTTACTTATACATAAATCTCTGTCCTTCCTTTACCTCAGGAAACCTTGGGTTGGCTTTATTTAATGCATGTGAACATGCATTAACAGCATGAGCAAGCTCCTGCTCCAAGAGGCTGTGTATTTTTGCAGCTTCACAGATTCTATAAAAATATAAAAAAAGAGAAAAATATTTCTTACCTCCTTTAAAGAATAATTCTTAAGAGTACACAACATTAACAGATGAGAAAATATACCAAGATGTTTCACAAAACACTTAAAAAAAATAGTCTTTTACAACGAAAGTTGAAATACAAGTATCTCTCCAAGCACTACAGCACCTCATATAAATGATATCCATAACACAGATAATTTGTTCTGCTATGAAATCCTAAAACACATTTATTTGTCTTAGAACAGAAATGCTACACAAAAATTGTACCAAAAAATGCTGGGGCTATTAATTCAAATCAACTAGAGAGGAAAACCCTAGCACATTAAGAAAACTTAATTCAAGTTACTTTAAAAGCCATTACACCTATTTCACAAGGCACATCCTTCAGATGTGACACTAAAATTGTCTGCAATCTTTTGAGATTATGTGAGGTCCTGCTGTAATTACAACCTCAGGACCATCTCTAGAACAGTAAAGTTTTTAAGTGGTCTTGGCTAAACTTCACTTTGGGTAATTTATAATCTAAATTATTCTTCCATGTCTACTTCAGTCACCAGCACAGTATAAAAATAATATGTAGTTCTTCAGTTCTTTTCTTATATTATCAGTGCAACTCAACAGATACTCCAGGAATTTATTTTGATGCTTAAGACAATTTGTCAGCACAGTGAACTGAGTATCAGCTTTATGAAATGTTCTGATTTTCAAAAAATGCTTGTCTTAAAAACATCTAGGTTTGTTGGGGTTTTTTTTCTGTGAAAATTGATGTGCCTTCTTTATTAAAATACTTGCATCTCAGGCAGAAAGTAATTCTTGACATTAAGGAAGGCTGTGGGATCAGTTTTCTACTATCAGCTCACTGTCATCTGAACCCTTATAAATTACTGAAGTGTCCACGGGGACAAAGACAGAATCATAGAATCATAGAGTCATTAAAGTTGGAAAAGACCTCAAGGATCATCAAGTCCAACCGTCAACCCAACACCACTTAACTCACTAAACCATGTCCCTAAGCACCACATCCACACGTTTCTTGAACACCTCCAGGGATGGTGACTCCACCACCTCCCTAGGTAGCCTGTTCCAATGCCTGATCACTCTTTCAGTGAAGTAATTTTTCCTAATATCCAGCCTAAACCTTCCCTGGTGTAACTTGAGGCCATTTCCTCTTGTCCTATCACTTGTTACTTTAGAGAAGAGGCCAGCATTTTGAGCATTAGGAATGAAATACTGCAATAACAATGAATGAGTGGATGAATGCAAAAAGGTATGGAGATTTTATCTGGCAACTTGGGCTCCTTGAATGTTGGTGTGTTAACTGTTTACTTGTACAATATTTTAAGAAAACTTTCAGGTTTATTGAAAAGTGCTCATCTTTTTGAAATTGTGAGTAACAAAGCTTTAAGGAGAAGTAAGGTCAGGAGAGGTTAAGGTCAGGTGGATACATTCACACTGTTGACTTCTAAAGTTGACTTCTAAGGGCTCTTTTCCCAATAAATATACTTTTGCTTTTGCGTAAAACGAGAAGTTTCAGTCAAAAGCCTCTCTGCAGAGAAGCATTCTAGTCTTCCATTTCCACTGCTCCTTCAGAAAGCCAGTCATCAAAAGAAAAAAAATACATAAACACACAAAAATGAAATTACAGAAATACATAAGAAAAGCATACATAAACAAGTTGAGCCTTAAAAATAAAATAACTTTAAAAAAATAAAATAACTGATAGTGGCAATGAAATATTAATCAAAAAACAGGGAAAATATAGACTTCTAAGTCTATGTATGCATTTGCATGAATAGTTCAGTCATGGTGTCTAGGTTGCCAATCCAAACTTATTAATTTTACTGTACCTGGTAATAAGTTCTTCAGCAGCTTGTGAGCACAGCTGGATCTGTGCAACTTCTTCTTCTGTAGCCAACTCAACAGCCTGCTGAGGGTACAAGGGAGATCGAATGACAGGTTTACAGGAATCATACTTCTGCTTGTCTTCCCAAGACTTCAGGGTGTTTTCAAAGGCCTAATCGAAATGAATTATACATTCAGTTCACAGCACTTGGAGTATTCTTATTTATTTTACTACTTAATTTTATGTTTTATATAAAATTTTAGTTAATTTAACAAATAACTTTCAAATTTCAATTTTATATAAACAATAATAGCTGTATAAATAATAAAATGACATTTAATGTTTTTAAACTTAGTATAAAGGACAAGTCACTTCTGAAAGTTCTCTCTCTGTCTCCTCCCCGTTATCCTCAATAAGGGTCTTCCAAAACAGTAAGAACTCAAAGGCTGTGATAATACAAGCACATTTTGTGTGGCTAGCAAGATCCAAATCTGAAACAAACACAGGATTCAAACCTAAAAAATAGTGTGAAAAAGTAACAAATTTACTAGAGTTCAAATGCCATTAACTGCACCCTAAATTCAACATCGAGTTAGTGGAGGGAGAACTGAGGGGCAGTTACAGCCTTCACACAATAATCCTGGACAAGTGTGAACTCTCCAGTGGCTTTCTGACTAGGTTCCACTTGTGTCTCTTCTGTCTGAGACTGGGTCATGGGGGAGAGGGAGGACAGAGAGAAACAGGAGATAAATCTGCAGAAAGTTATTCTGAAAAATGGACATTGTAGAACTTTGCTATTTCTGCAACTGTGCTAAAACTTCCAGTATATGATTGCATATTATACACCTAGAGAAGGAACACTAAAATTTTGACCATTCTTCTTCTTACTATATATTAATAAGAATAGAGGATAGCACTAACAAAACTGATAAAAGCTAACAAAGAGCTGTGTCACTTATACAAAAGAACAATTCTTCATCTGGCTTATTATAGAAATTATATAAATGTAAATAATTATGTAAGTTATATAAATAGTTATAAATAATTTTTGTAAGTACTGTTTTGTTCATGTTATAACGGAATCAAGTTATTACAGAAACCAATGTTAGTAACGGTATCTCACAATACACTTTTTGCCACATACTCTGTCTCGTGTTAGCATCTGAGCTCTGTTTTTATGTATGATCTTAATAACTCCTGGGGGCTGGATCCATGCCTCTCCATCAACTTGTACTGGAACCCCTTCATCACCAAGTATGGTGATCTTTACTGACCGACACTGAAAAAGAACAAACATGTTATTTCACAGAGCAATAAAGACTAATGAAACTGATGGGCCACCTGAAATATGTTGATTACTAGGAGCTGCGGCCTCCTTCCAGGACTGTCTCAAGGATGAAGCACTTTTCTACATCATTTATCATAGAAGACGATTTGTTACCCGTTAAAATTAAAACAATGTCAGCGCTTTATTAATGTATAGGGTGGTGGTCATAAGAGTACTGCTACTTGCCAGCATCCCAAACTGCTGCCAACCATATTGTGTGCTTTCAAGTAAGAAACAAACCTGAGCTATCCTGTGGTGCTGCAGTTTGATGACTCTTGAAACTGCCATCTGCATGCTGCCAAAAACTGCAACAACTTCTAAAATTTTATCATCGAATGATGGAGCCCCAAATATCTGAAAGGAAAAGAAATTATTCCATTTTGATGGTAAATCTAGTGCTTAGACTGTGTATGATTGAAACACAGATTCATTTACAGATTTGTTTTCAACATTTAAATGCTCTAACTTACTTAGTATAGAACAACCATGCAAGTCATAGGAGTGAGATACCGTAAGACAGTAGGCAAATATTAAAACAGCAACGCTAATAGCATTTCAAATATCTGAATGACAAGGCATATCCTTATATAGGAAGGGTGGCATGTTTCATTGTGCAGACTAAGAAGTGTTTTTCAAGGCAAGATGAAAGGCAATTCAAATCTCTGCTTGGTTAATGTACTCAATATCTAAGAGGTTCCTGAAGTTAAGAGGAGTAATGGTGTCTTTTTTCTCAGAAGTGCTTATCTTCTTATATTCTGAATTCCCTGAAAACCAACATCTGAGTCCACTCTCAGCTTTGTCAAACACAGCTTTCATACTGAAGAGGATCTTGTTTGTGCTGTATACTACTATACACTGGAAATATGAAAACCGCTTCTGCCTGTAACAAATGTCCTGATATCCAGCCAAGACTGACTTTCCATGTGCTTACACAAAGTGCAGGAACTCTCGCATGTGCCATTGCCAGCTGGTGTTCTGCAGGGGAATTCAGCCATGCTATAGGACAAGTCTTAGGCTGTTCAACAGAGTCTGGCAGGAGATAAGGTCACTAAGGTCACTTGAAGCTTGACCATTTCATCCTGATATGCAATGGGGAGCAAAGAGGGAGACAAATCAGCAGGAGAAGTATAAGTGTTAATGGCTAGGGAGATCACCTCTCTGAGTGGTTCTCAGACTACTTCAGCTGGCATCTTGGGCAGAGTAAGCTGCATCAGAGACACCTAAGACCAGACTGGAGAAAATCCTTCAAAGGAGCTCAAAAGCCACAACTAGTCACATCCTGTCCCCTGACAGAGGATTTCCTGGAGGTGAAGAATAAGAGGGTGCAGATCCAGGACTATGTAATCCAGATAGCATCTGCAGCAGTGGCTCAGGCAGGGAGAGGATGAGGAACAGGGTGAGGGACTTCAGTCCCTGCTGCCCACCAAGCCAGCAGGAGCCTTCACCCCAGTGCAGTGAGCGGTGACTTTTGCCAGGAGGCTGAGGGCTTCTCAGGGAAAGGGCTGCACTGCACAGTTGTCATAGTTTAGTGCTGCATCCAGGTGGCACTTCCCTTCAGAGCATCCCAGGATTGCACAGCTAGGTCTTGAATAGATAACTGTCAAAGAAAGAAAGTGCAATTTTACTGGGTCTAGAGTGTTTTGAAGCAAAATGTTTCTCCATCTGAATTTTTCTGATTTCCATGGAAATTCTTCTGTTTTTCACGTGAGGATGTGAATGTCTTGAAAAGAGCAAAGATGGTGATTCTGTTATTCCAAGGTAAAAAGTATGGAGAGTCCTTGATCCAGCCTTAACAAGTATAACTGACATCTACAGGGCTGGTTCTGCATGAGTTAAGAAAAAGTATTTGTAACATTTGATTTATTTTGTGCTTCCATTTTAGCAAAAGGACAGGCAAACCACAACTCGCACTGCTGTGTCCCTCCATCAGTAAAACATATCTGTACCGAAAACCAACCTTTTGGTTTTTTTAATTAAAGCAAACAAATCTCTATGGACCAACGTTCAAGAAACAATTCCCTCCTTTCCTGTTGCAGGTCATGTTTCCAGCCTGTCTTCTGGACACTAAAAAGCCTAAACAAGCCCCGCCCAAGTCGGTTGGCATGTAGCTGCCCTGCTTGGCTCACCAACAGTATTTCAGGAACAGTCACAGCTGTCAAGGCAACATCTTTCTTTTGTCCCGATAAGCAGAACCAGCAGCACTTCAGACCACCGCCACCACCTTTGATGATCAGTCAGTCAGTACTGCGTTAAAGCAGTGAATTATGCTCCTAACTCTGTCCAGAACAAATGTGTCACTTTGCTGGCACATCTGATTACCAGAAGACCAAGAATATCAGTAAAACTGCTCCAAGACACACATATTTGCTGTATACCACTATGACAGCTAGGACAGATCTTCTCTGTCAGTGAGGCAGTCCAGGCAGAAAAATAAACTCCTTAACAGGAGCTGAGCAGACAGAGATGCTTTCAAGTTACAAATATGAACATGGGAGTATATAAAAACTTTAGATATGCATAGCCAAATATAAACCTAACTGCCATCCTCTGACATATACCAAAAATGAGAAAAGGACATTGAAACCTGTTTAAATATTTTTTGTGATTTTTACATATATATATTTACATAAGCAAAGGATAAAAACTCACAAGAAACCAAAAGCATTTTGTAAAAAAAAAAAAAAAACCTGGACTGTCTACATTAAAATCACAAGCTATTTTGCAACTACAGTTTTAGGTGATTCAGACCTCTCACACACTAAATCAGGACAGAAATAGGATAATCTGCTAGTGATTACAATTGTTGCATTGTGCGTGAAGTGTCTGGCAGCAGTAAGACTGCTCCAAGTTGTAAGATATTTAGGTATCCATGTAGTGTAACATTTCCTAGGAGATGTGAGGGAGAATGGAAAAAAGATATCTTCAAATATTTTAGAAGCTCACTGAAAATAATATTTAAAAAACAGATTAGTGCCCCCACTAAATTATCAGTCACTAAATGCATCAGTCATTTTCTGAATCACCATCCCGTAGTACAAAGCTGTTTGAAGAACAGGAGGAAAATTCAGGTATAGACTGTGAGACTTGCCCAGCTTGCTTATTGCTAGAACATAGCAAATGGAGGAATCTATAATTTGAGAAACCTTATTTACAGGAGTCTGTAAAACAATATAGAGAGAGGCTCTGTTTATAAAATTAGTTTCTAAAAACACTATCTCATAGAGCCATTTAAAAAAAATCATTAAGCCTTATTATGAACATTTTGCTGGAATGGACACGACAGAAGGCATTAGACAGTGAAAAATCATGGGATATATTTTCAATTTAAAAAATCAACAAGACAACACAATTTAAACTCAAACAGCATCCCTGAATAAGAGTTGCTTTCCAAACTATACACTACTACTATTAAAATTAAATGAGAAAGGTATTTATTGCTGGTTTTGCCCAGAAGGTTACTTCTCTTTAATGTTACTCACATCATCTTCTTTGGTTCCACCCCAGAAATTAGTCCCACCAGCATAGCTTGGAATGTTTAGCACAGCTATACCCTGCAGACTTGGAAGGGGGATGTACTGTCCGTCACACTGTAATGGATAAAAGCTCATTCAGTATATAAATAATGTGATAAAAGTAATCAGCCATTTTTAACACGTCAAGCTTCAACAGAGCTGGCAGAAGAGGACAGAGTCATTAATAGGTGTGACACAAGATTATTTCCCCTATGCTGTGAAGTACCTCTAATCCAAACCTCTTCTCCCCAATCTCAGCACCAATTTTTGCAGAGGTGTTCCAAGACTCTTCAAAGAGACATTTTCACATCCCTTATTGTGAAATTCCTCATGCACTTAGACCATATTCTGCCTATCAAGGATTAAAAATCTTTTTACAATAAAAAAGCTATCTCCCTGAGTACACACAGTAAGATTGCCATGGACATTACAAAAAGCTTCCTTTATGCATTCAGTAACTAGTCTTCCATCCTCTATCAGCATTCCCAGAATTGCAATACACTTGTTACTTAGGTAAATCCATTAAGTGGGGAAAAACAAAAATTTAAAAATATCCAAGAATATTTCTGGCATTGACACAAACATGTAATTAAATTTAAGTGTTGTTAGCATTGTATGCTTGGCTTCCTGTAAAACTAACTTCACTCTCCTCTCGAAAATGCAAAGGCAAATCTAGGACTGGTCCCACAGTTGTCACCCTGACCATGGCTAGGAGTGGTTGATTTTGCAGGTAGGAGGTTGGTCCTATGACCAACCATTCAGTCCTTCTTTCTTACTGCTTTATCCTCCAAAACCCATAAGCAACTCCAAGTCCTACTCAGCGTGACCATACGATGACATAGGTCAATCTCACCCTACTTATGGCCAAGAGTAAATTTACAGACAGCAGTGAAATTGCTCTTGACTTACAGCAGTACAACTGCCTGCAGAGGTGAGCCCAGTGACCTCAAACCATTCTACTGGGAGTCAAGCAGTCCTGCAGCAGTGCCACAAGCATGGATTTGAAGCAGTTTGGAAATCCAAGGTCATAAATGCTGGATGCAGGTGTCACTTTATGTATCACTAATTTGTGGGTGAAGTTGCCTTTAAAGAAGATTGCTAGGTTACCGCAATTTACCAATCCCACAGAAGGATTTTCAAATTATACAAATGAAATAGAAATCCTCAGGAAGTAAGGACAAAATCCATAGCATTTTTATCAAGAGGAGTAAGAGATGCTAAATTATTTCTAGAATGTTTTTAGTTCTGTCCTTTTATTATTTCATCTCAGCAACAACGCAGAATTTAACATTTTAATCAAAATGTGACAGTATCCAAAATATGCTGTGATATTAACAGATGCTGCACAGCCATTTCTATTATAGAGGTCTGCCTCCTGTTCCTGAAATTGGTATTTTTAATTTTCCAATACTGTGCACCTCACCACATGTTTTAGCATAAGGCTTATATTATGGAAGGCAATACTAAATATGAAATTTCTACTGGCTGGTTTACTTCCAGAAATATTCAAAAATAATTACAGAAAGGTCAGATTTGAATGCTTTATTGAATCTTATTTGAATCTTATTCAAAAGATCCTTAAATTAGAATTCTATCTGCAGCATACATAACATTCTTTCCTGTCATTATATTTGCTAGCTACTGCATAATTCCTTGATAATTACTCAATCCTTAGATAACAGCAATCTGCTGCTACCAGACAAAATCCTCCTAAATCTCAGAGGAGTGAGAAATGAGTTCCAGTAACTTAAAATTATTCTTTCAACTTCAAAAGTTATCTTCATACAAGTATCCTGAACTTCTATATGAAATAGTTAGCATGAAGTAAAAAGAGAAATTATGTATGTTCTCTGTCAAAATCTAGCCTAGATATTCTTCAGGTGAAAATAACTGTAACAATCCCATAGTCTTTTTCTGCATTTGGTAATCATATCACCTTTAAGTTCCCAGTATCATGAAGAACACTTACATTTTACGTTAGAACTTAAAAGACAAAAAAATAACAATGTTTAGATAATTTGCACTGTTTGTTTTGTTTTTTTTTTCTGTGATAAGATCTTACTTCTTTTGTGTGACTGTCTCAAATACCTATTAGAGAAGTCTCTACTGGTGCAGCTGGGCTTCTTGTGATGTACATTGAGAATCTCCCCTCTTCTGTCAGGAATTTCTGACTAAGATCACCTGTGTGCGTAATACACCCTGTATGTGTAATCAAGCTTTCAGATAGTTTAAAATTAATCTGAAGGATTAAGACTCCTTATCTCCTTCCTTCTGTTTAGTGTATGTTCATTTCTGGTATTGTCCTTAAAACACGGTCTCTCTCTTTGATGCTGTGAACAGTAAGAAACATATCCTACCTATACAATATATATTTTTTTAAACTCAGTAGTTACAAGAAACATTATAATGGGTATTTTGGGATATTTAAGTATTGACATTTTACTCCAAAAAACCACCTGGGGAACAACCTCTTACTTCACATGTTTTTACACAGTGCCTTTGAGGACAGCTTGAGCTGACGCAGGAACTCTAAAAGATTTCAGAAGGAAGCCCAAATTCTTCACTACACATTGCAGAAGCAAAAATACTCATTCTGCCCATAAATAAAAATTACCTCAAGTTGAACTTTTTGTTCTAAGTTCTTATAAGTTCTCTGCAGTAGCTCTTTTGTGCCAAGAACTCCATACCACATCATGTTTTTTGTCCGACTTCTGAAAACAGGTAAAACAAGATTCACATATTGAAATTCACATATTATTATGTCTTGCATTTGTAGGATGAAAAAAAAAGTTAAGAAATTCAAATAAAGAGATAAGGAAAAGAAAATAATGGGAATGTATTGGCTCTGTTACTGACAATTATATTACCTGCACTTTTCAGGGTGCTCTTCTCGCTTGTTATTAAATTCTAGTGAAATTTTTGCATCTAACCCAATTCCAAAGTAGTTGTTCATGACACATTTTTCTGAATATCCCTCCCTGTTACAAGAAAAGAGATAATTAGGTGTACACTTGTACAGTACCTGGACACACAGAGCTTTGACCAAGATTGTAGTTGGTCTCAGAACAGGCACGTCAACCAAGAGACGTCAAGAGATATTTCCTCTCAGTCTCCCTGAGGAAACCCAATGACAGTCAAAGAGACAGACTGGCTGCTAGCTCCTTTGCAAGTGTAAGTTACTTACCATAGGACAAAGAAGAAACTGTAACACACCCCCAACCTAGCACTAGCTCCACCATACCCAAAATTAACAGTGGAATATGAGGAAAGAGCTGCCCCAGGCACAGCTCTTAGACAGCAGCACCACACTGGGCTGAGCACCTGAGCTGCGTTTAGGCATGTTGGGTGCTGGATGTTTGTCTGATGCTGCCCATGACAGCAGTGTTGGTTTTTTTTTGTAGAGTTGCGTCCCACAACCCAGGTGGCATCCACAAGTCTCTGCCAATGCTATGCCCAGTACTGGGAAGCACAGACAGCTTAGGACACAAAACCTCCACCTCACTGCTCCAGTCCTTAGGGGGACACTTCTTCCTCCACTATGAAGTGCCCAGAACTGTTTCAACATGTTGCTGGTGGCTGAACTTGTGTTCAGACTGGCAGTTAGTGTCCTCCTCCTTTCAGAGCCAGAGGACAAGGGATAAGTGAGCAAATGTCTCCTATTATTTCTGCTGTTGCAAGACAATTCTGCACTACTCATAACTAAAACAGTACAATCCAACCTGCTTTCAGACCTTGAGGTCTAGTGCCCAATGACAGCAAATCAGAATTTCATAATGAAAAAAAAAGATTACAAAAAAGTTTAAAAAAAAAAAAGAGAAACAAACCAAAGTAAGACAGTAAATTTGGAAATAAAATAACTTCTTACAGTGAATCTGGATCCGGGTCAATAAACGGCGTAGCACCAAATGGATCAATGTTTGCTAGCAACATTTTGCTAATAATTGAACTTCCTGCAATAGAAGCAGCTAGACCAGCCCTCAAACCTGATTTTAAAAAAAAACCAAACAAAACAAAAACAAGAGAATTATATCAAATAAAATTTGTATTTGATACACAGAGAAACATATATTGTCATAATATAAGCTACATACTGAGAGACAAAACATTCATTAAATCCTTATAGGGAATGATTGTGTTTCTATCTCAATTTTTATATACATTCGTTATTTTTTTTAGGTCTCTGGCTCCCTTCAGCAGAAAGGCAGCTATGCTGCAGCGCAGTGGGTGACTCTTCAGGTACCACCATTGAGAAAGAAAAAAACCAATGAAAATTCAGGATTTCAGGCCAACACTCACAGGCTGACATAGTAATCAAATGGATGACCTACCATCCAAAAAGACTACTAGAGCATTTTATTTAGACTAAACTTAATCTCATTGAATCACAGAATGGTTTGGGTTGGAAGGTACCTTAAAGACCCCCAAGTTCCAACCCCCCTGCCATGGGCAGGGACACCTTCCACTAGCCCAGGTTGCTCAACCCCCTCCACTAGACCACGTTGCTCAAAGCCTCATCCAGCCTGGCCTTGAACACCTCCAAGGATGGGGCATCCACAGCTTCCCTGGGCAACCTGTTCCAGTGTCTCACCACCCTAACAGTGAAAAATTTCTTCCTAATATCTAATCTAAAGCTACCCTCTTTCAGCTTAAAACTGTTACCCTCTTCCTATCACTACACTCCCTGATAAAGAGTGCCTCCATCTCTCCTGCAGCCCCCTTCAGGTACTGGAAGGCCACTATAAGGTCTCCCCGGAGCCTTCTCTTCCCCATGCTGACCAACCCCAACTCTCTCAACCCTGTCCTTGTACAGGAGGTGCTCCAGCCCTCTGACCATCTTAGAGACTCTCCTCTAGACTCACTCCAACAGGTCCATGTCTTTCCTGTGCTGAGAGCTCCAGAGCTGGATGCAGTACTCCAGGTGGGGTCTCATGAAAGCAGAGCAAAGAGGAAGAATCACCTCCCTCAACCTGCTGCTAATGCTTCTTTTGATGCAGCCCAGGACACGATTGGCTTTCTGGGCTGCAAGTGCACACTGCCAGCTCATGTTGAGCTTCTCATCAACCAACACCCTCAAATCCTTCTCCACAGGGCTGCTCTCACTCCATTCACCTCCCTGTATTTGTGCTTGGGGTTGCCCCAATCCACATGCAGGACCTTGCACTTGGCCTTGTTCAACTTCACGAGGCTTGCGCAGACCCACCTCTCAAGCCTGTCAAGGTCCCTCTGGATGACATCCCTTCCCTCCGGCGTGTCAACTGCACCACACAGCTTGGTGTCGTTGGCAAACTTGCTGAGGGTGCACTCAATCCCACTGTCCATGTCGCTAACAAGGATGTTAAACACCACCAGTCCCCATACTGACCCCTGCGGAATGCCACTCATCGCCAGTCTCCACTTGGACATCGAGCTGTTGACTGCAATTCTTTTGAGTGCGACCGTCCAGCCAATTCCTTATCCAGCGAGTGGTCCATCCATCAAATCCATGTCTCTCCAATTTAGAGACAAAGATGTCATGCAGGACAGTGTCAAATGCTTTACACAAGTCCAGGTGGATGATGTCCCTGATTTTCTCAAAACTTTCCCTGATTTTCCTTTGGTCCTTTCCTTTGGAAATATTCTTAAGGAATACCCTCACCATTTTTACAACTGGAAGAGTCATAGTTCAACTTAACTTGTGGAAAGGTCATAGCCTTGCCATGCCTACCTTGACTAATATCAATGTATACTCTGTGCAATGCGTGCAAGCAAAGAAAAGTACTTTCTAAAAGCTTTCACTTAAATTGACCTAAAGAAAAATGCAAGCTCAGTTCCATTACGTTTAACTAAACCAATGAAGTTAATTAAAACAGTGTTTTATGGGTGCTTCCTAGTATTAATTGCATTTTGATAAGAAGAGATTTTTCTCAACTGTTCTTACTGCATGGCAGCTTTGATAATTATCCATTTTTCAGTTATCCATTTGCTAAGAGGTGTCTACAGACACGTCTTGTTCAGAGGGTTGAATCTTACACAGCTCTGTCCCTCAGCTCCTTCATAGCCTCCATTCATTAGGATGAATCATAAAAGGACTTGGAGATACTGGTGGACGAAAAATTGGACATGAGCCAGCAATGGGTGCTGGCAGCCCAGAAAGCCAACCATATCCTGGGCTGCATCAAAAGAAGCATGACCAGCAGTTTGAGCGAGATGATTCTCCCTCTCTGTTCCACTCTGGTGAGACCCCACCTGGAGTACTGCATCCAGCTCTGGGGCTGCCAGCACAAGAAAGTCACAAACCTGCTGGAGCAGGTCTAGAGGGTGGCCACAAAACTGGTCAGTGGTCTGGAACCCCTCTCCGACAAAAAAAGGCTGAGAAAGTTACAGTTTTTTCAGCCTGGAGAAAAGAAGGCTCCAGGGAGACCTTATTGTGGCCTTTTGAAATATGGAGAGGGCTTATAAGAAAGACTGAGAGACTTTTCACTGGAGCCTGTAGTGAAAGGATAAGGGGCAATGGTTTCAAACTGAAAGAAGGTAGGTTTAGATTGGGCATAAGGCAGAAATGTTTTATGATGAGAGTGGTGAGACACTGGCACAGGTTGCCCAGAGTTGTCATTGGAAGTGTTCAAGGTCAGGCGGGATGCAGCTTTGAGCAACCTGGTCTAGTGAAAGATGTTCCTGCCCATGGCAGAGGGTTGGACTAGATGATTTTTAGAGGTCCCTTGCAACCCAAGCCACTCTGTGATTCCATTATTCTAAGATCCTGAATTTGATTTTTTTATCCTCCAGAATCAGACACAACATTTCTGCTACATTTAGTGTTATGCTAAGTGACTGGGAAACTTCTACACTATTTTGCATTTCCTACTATATGATACAACACAAAGATGTGTATGTTGGTTCAAACAAATTCAGAGCTCCTGGCATGAAATAAAAATCATTATTTGACAGCAAGCAGGGGAACAGAAGGCAATACTAAATTTGTATAAGGAACAGCAGATTTCAAAATCATAATTACCTGGGCAGATAATCCTAGTGTTAAGCACTGGGAGGTTTTCCTTGCTTGCAGCCAAAGCTGGAGCAGAGAAAGAGCCTGTCTGAGAATGGATACCTCGGCTTGTACGTCGATCTGGAGATCTTGGCGCAGTTTTAACTGTGCAGAAGAAGAAAAAGTTAAGAGCACTAATTAGACCTATTATGACATTACCAAATACATAGTTTTTACAGCCCTGAAAATACTCGAAAAGCATTCATTTAATCTGTTACCATTCTGTGACAAATGCCCTTCCCCTTTACACCAGTTTTTCTTCTAAATACAGGAAACAAAACTCAAGTAAGAAGCTCAAATTAAAATGAACAAATGCGCATGTCATTCAACATGAGGAGTCCCCAACTTATGCTTCAAGCTACTAGCAAAAACTGCATTATATCCACCTTAAAATGAAATAGCATTTAATGCTACAGTATTCTGATAAATGTGTTAATGAAGTAACATGAACTTAGACTTAAATTCTATCTATATTTGCATACAAATATACCTATAT